ATTTTCGGGATATAGATTTTGTGGTGCAATAGAAATATTATCGTGTACAAATTTTATATAAATTCAACCAATATTGAGCATTTTAAGCAGGGGCACACCCAGGAATATATTTTGGGAGTGGTTTTATACTTCTAAAGATATAATACCAGAAAATATTGAAAATTCGCTTCAGATAATATGCTCTTTAAAATACATTTATGCAAGTTTTATGTACAGTATGTAATAAATAAATAAACTTTTTAAAGTTTCATAAATTGCACTTTATTTACTAAAATTAACAAAGAACTCAAACACCAAATGATCAAGTTTAAATAGCATTGGAATAGCTGCGCTTGACAACAAATGAAATAGTGGAAAAAAGCAACATGAATTCACAAGGCGAATTTAGCGCAGTGCGCAGGCTGAGACGGACTGAATCCTACTGAAAGAAGTCTGATGAGGAAATGTGGTGATTTCCGAAAACACTTTTAACCGACTTCAAAAAGTGGGGGCGCTTACTAATCCATCGGAATATTTTTTCTTTTTTAAGGTATTCTACTGCATAACTTTGGACCACGTGAACCGATTTCAATGTTTATTTTTTATCGTAAATATGGTATCTCAAGGGTCGTCCCGTAATTTGGTTTAGATCCGATCATTGGAACAGGAAAAAATTAACGGCACTCTTAAATGTGTATATGAGAAATGAAGTTGGTTGTGTGTTTTGCTTAAAAATCACTAGTTTAACAAAAAGTTCTACAAAAACAAGACGCGCTCAACTTTCAAAAGTAACAAAAAATATTAAAAAAAGGTTTTAATGTTCATTGTCCTCGATTTCTGGTTTTTGGCTTTTGATGGAGATGGTGATTTTTTACGATTGCCTCATTTTTTTAATATTTCGAGTACCGAAAAAAATAACTGAATTTGTATTTTAATTATGTAGCTCATTTTGGTGGAACGAATTCATAGTTGGCAAATTAAATCTTCGAATTCTTATTAAGTACGTAGCAGTGGTAAACTCTTTTAGGCTGTAAAGTGTAAAAACAACAGTAAGTGAGTATGTAATGCATATTTTTAGGACAACGTTTTCATTCGCAATTAAACTTTGGAAGCTCTCAAGAAAAACGAAAAGTGCATAGGATAAAATTACGCACAAGAAATGGAAAAGAAAATTTCTTCTATCAAAATTCCTTAAACTTACAGAAAAAGCAAAGTGCTTTTTCAAGCAACAGTAATAATAAAAAATATTTCTTGTGATTTTTCTTGAGAGCTGGATTCAAAGATTTAAGATACAATTTGTATTTGGGTCATTAGCATGAGGGGGGAGGGCAAAAAATTGTTAAACCAAATTGCAAATTTTTTGTAATACCAAAATGCTGGAAAACCGCTCGAATGATTTTGTTTTTATTTTCTTTAGTCAAAAATTCAGGTGTTTTCCTTTCGTTTGGTATATCTAAGTATGTTTATTTTATTCGAATATATGGGCATAATGATTTTCCATACAAAATCACTTCATCATCATTTTGCAAACACGTGCTTGCGTTGGAAGTGAGAGAAGGAGACAAAAAGTATGTGGGCGTATGTAGGTATTTCGGATCTTGAGTAACAGATGACGCTACATATATTTATAACCTCAAACGCAAGGTGTCGCTGGAGTCGAGTTATTTCTAAAAATCGTCAAGTGGAAGTAATTCAGAGACACCAGGGATCAAAGCCAAATTACCACTGTTGAATCAACCACTAAATAGAATAAAGACAATTCATGATGAATGCCTATAAATAAAATTGTAAGAGATTTAAGGTATTTAGTCTGAAATAATTATATGTGTATTGGATTTCTACGGACCAATGATACGAGGAGTATTGAAATTGTCACCAACTAACCGGATCATTGTTGTCGCAGAACTTCTTCACGGACATAACTCTTTCGTTAGGTTATCTAAGACAGCAATGGATATGTGTACCTACATAAACCTCATGTCTAAGATCGTTTGGTAAATCCATGACTACACCTTTTCCAAGAGTACTTCAGGAAGCGTCAAATGTACTTCTCAAACTGTAAAATGTACTTCAGAAAGCGACAAATGTACTTCAGAAAACGTAAAATATACTTCAGAATAGTCAGTTGTAAAAGTACATTTTACGTTTTCTGAAGTACATTTTACGCTTTCTGAAGTACTCTTGGAAAAGGTGTAGACAGGTGTCCGATTTTCTAAACTTTTATGAAATAAGGAAAATCTGAGAATGTGTTGAGATTTATTTAGCGGTTCCCATGAATACGTATACACGAAACATTTCTTTAATATCCATTTCATTCTTTTGATTCCATGAAAGAAATCTTAGCAGAATTAAAGAAAAGCATGTTTTCCTTCGTCCGATAATTTTTTAATAAAGAAGTAAAACTCACTTAAACGTCCCCATTGTGATAAAATAACAAATTAGGATCAAATAGAGAGAGAGAGAGAGATCCGAGAGTTTTAATCTCGCGCCTGACTTTTTAAATTATTAACGACAACTTTTTGGTGAAAAAATCGAGATCTCAAAATTAGATTTTTAATCTGATAATTTATAGTATATACGAATAGTGGTTTGGTTTTTTTGTGTAACATTGCCGAAAATCTTTTCAAATTTCAGACATGTCCCTGTTAGCACCTCTGCATATTCCCGCGATCCGGCCTGGTTTCGAAGCCGATGCAACGGCTGCTGTTAAACGGCATCCTCACCCATGGGCCTATGATGGTGATGGCTTCAGCTCGGCACAATACCATGCTTCGCAATACTTTCTAGATCGAGATCGAAAACCAGTTTTTTATGGCTATCCCGAAACGCAATATCAGGTAAGTTTATGAGGGCGAAACCCTTCTGTAAATTAAGAACGAAGAACAAGTTCCATAATACAGATTTTTATGTTAAATATTACTTAAATTTTAAATTGCATTATTTTTGGTTCTTTATTACAGCCGTATTGGAATTACCGGGACCAACCCACACCGGCTGCGGCGGCCTACATGAGCGCTAGTGATGAGCGACATGCTGCCGCAGCTGCCGCCCGCCAGTCCGTCGAGGGCACTTCGCAGTCGAGTTACGAAACGCCAACATATTCTTCTCCTAGCGGTCTGCGGGGATACCCAAGTGAGGCCTATTCCAGCACAGGTATGTGTAACTGGTACCAAATTAATAATTCTTCTTCGAAAATATGAACTTTCATCATTAAAAGAAGAGCTTACAGCTTACAGCAGAGCTTGGCCGGCACCCCCTAGAATTGTTCTATACCGAAACAAAATACATATACCCTTTTTTTATTTTGAAATCAAATCTTCATATCAATATTTTTCGATCGGAAAACTGTGACTCTCTTCAGGAGACTTGCAGTATTAATGCCCAGTTATTTACTTAACCATTTTTTAATATTAAAGATTTTTTATTGGTCACCCATTGCATTTTCTGGGTGTGTTGGCGGACATATAAAATATAGTTACTGTGAAAAAATCGTTAAAGAAACAATTAGGTATTATTATTGGGAATCTCGTGAATAGGAACCGAGTTTTCCGATCTAAAAATATTGGTTTTCAAGAATTCTATACCATTTCTACGAAAAGTTGTTTTTTCCCCATATAAAATACGTGAAAAACTTTGAGCGCTTTGAGCACTCCCTAAATTTTTGTTTATTTCAAAATAAAAGATAGTGGTATATGTTTTTCGGTAGAGAACAGTCCTAAGGGGTGCCGGCATTACAATTCCGACTTTACTTTTTCACATGCAATTTAGGACCACTCTGATGTATGTACATATCGTCGATGTTTTAGCAAAACCGCTCATCGACCAATTGCAAAACCGCCAAGTCGCCGTTGTGCCAAAAATGAGATTTGGTAACCCTGAACTCCAGGCATCGATATTTATGCATAAAAATCTTAAAACCGTTATTAAAATAACAGATTAGTAAAATAATAGCTAGATAAATAGCACCTATAAAGGCAATGCCTTCAAAGAAAAGCCGTTTTTTCGCTCTCCTATAAAATTTGAGTGCCGTAAGATAGGCGGTTTTGCAAAAACATCGACGATATGTACTAGTTGACATTAGTAGTCGATTTGCACAGAGGTTTACGATACCAGAACTTTAACAAAAGTACGGCTTTTATTTATCGATATATCTACCCCTATACGCGATTTTATCGTAAGCGATAAAAGGTAAATTTTACAGGTAAGGTTTTTTTTTAATTCTCCCTTAAATAGAGTAAAAATTTATTTGGATTTAAATGGAAAACAACACTGTTGAATGCTAGCTTTCTAATAGGACTATTTATTTTTTTGCATACCATATTCTCTAAAGGTAAAATTCCGCTTAGAATATTTTTCCGGAACATGATGATAACAAAGTTATCAAAGAATTGGCGCTTTCTATAGTTTTTATATTGTATGTCCCCTTTCAGACACTTCATGTTTTGAAAGCAATTTTTTTCGCATTCTCTTTTGTGTTTTCTATTTGCTTCCAGACGCGTCAAAGTTTATTGAATTCATGTTCTCGGTTTTTTAAATGGGAAGCACCGAAAAGATCCAAAGAGACAAGAAAACTTGAAACGAATCTACGGTACGGAGGTATCTGTACTCTTCCCCTCTCTTCTCACCTCCTTCGCCTTGGAACGAGCAGACTTGAGAGCAAGACTTGACGTGTCTGAAAGCTGACTATAATGTGGATATTTACCAGTGCTTCGGAGCAAAGGTATTTTTTTCATCGCTCCGCTCTATCTCCGCTCCATATTTTATTTCGCTCCGAGCTCCGCTCTAAGCTCCGCTCCCGCTCCCAATAAAAAAAATTTTGTTATTTATTTATTAACTTATAAATCGAGCACTAACGGCAAAAAACGTAGGGGATCTTTTTTTAAATTTTTCTTCTTTTTGATGCAGGAATGCATCCAGATGCTCAAGGAGCATCCAAAAGAAAATTAAGAACAATGTCCCTTACTTTATTTTGGTGTTTGGTGTTATGCATATGTACAGTATCGGTCATATCTATAGCACGCCATTTTGAAGTGATATTGTGTGTCACTTATGTTTATTATTAGTTTTTAAGAATTTTCAATTAAAATATAGTTCATTCTCAGACAAACCCGATACAAACCCAAGCTTAATAATTTGTAGAAAGCTACAAAAAAGTGCAACAAATTTTCACATAAATTTCAAACTTTTTTCTCAGAAGTGTTAGAATTTTATTGGGTACACAGTTTTTTAGCCCCTTCAATTTTAGTCTGATAATGTGCAAGTTTCAAGTGGCTAAAAGTTACCGTTTATTTTTTAGAATTTTGTTTGTCGCATTGGCTTCCATATAATGAATAAACTCAATTTATTTGTATACTAGCAGACCCGGCGAACTTCGTCCCGCCCAAGATTTTTATATATTTTATTGAAACTTTTTGGTCCAACTTGTTCACCAACAATTCACGTTTACGATTTTCATTGGGACATTTGTCTGCTAAGATTAAGGTTTGGTGGTCATTTTCCGCTTTAAATAACCTAAGGAAAGTGTATCCGTTCTTGAAATGCTCCAGTTGTGCGGCATTTCATAGCACGGTTATTCGCAAAGCGAAATCAATTTTTTCCTCTTTACTCCCTGGCGGCAACAATGACCCGGTTCTATAGTGAATGCCCTAGAAGCTTTACAGTATAGTAGGTGGCAATTTCAAAATTATTTCAGACGAAATACCTTAAAAGTTGGAACGCATAATAATATTGGAAAATCACATCTATTGGGCCAATTGCAACGCAGGAGCGTTCGATATACTCAATGGTGCAACAGGTCGATTTAATCTGACCTTCACGGCCCCTTTTCTCACTTGGCTATTTTTAGTAATAGCTCGACTTCAGCACCACTTGGCAGCACGTTTTTGCAATAGTACTGCATACATATTTAAAACATTAGCCAAATCGGATCATAAATAAGATTTTTAGTAATAACTCAACTACAGCGCCAACTGTCGGATTAAATTGTGAACTAAACCATCCAGAGACCCACTCAAATACACAAAAAGTTTCGTTAAAATCCGTACAACCATTTAGGAGGACTTCACTCACAAACACACCTACAGAAGAATAAAAAAATTCATTCAAAGATAGCTAAAGGTCGGTACGTTTGTAGGCCTCACACCCCTTTTCAAATAGCCCAAATTTTCTCCATGAGTATGGGCTTGATTTCAACTATATACATATCTCCATACGAAGTTCCGGTACTGTACCATGAATACTTTCAGAGATATGCAGTATAAAAATTCGATTTATATGGGAGGTTCCACGCCCCCCTTTCCAACAGCTGCCCTCTTTCTTCATGAGTATGCGATTGATTTCGTATATGTCCATACCAAGTTCCAGAACTCTACCATGAACACTTCCAAAGATAGGCAGTATGAAAAATTCGGTTTGTATGGAAGATGCCACGCCCCCTTTTCCAATAGTTCCTATTTTTCTCCAAGAGTATGCGATTTGTCAGTTTCAAAAAAATCGGTTCAGCCGCTCTCGAGCCTTCCGAAAACTAACAAACGGCTTTCTAAATAAATATTAGTTGAGATATATTATATATTATAATTATATTTTGACAGTATCCGTTGTTTCTGATTGGCGCAAAAAAATCTTGCCTAGTGACGAATTCGCCCCTTGATATGGTCGTTACTTAAAGCTATTTATATTCGAAACTGCATGAAAATTGGAAAACAGGAATCTATAAGCTTATCAAGGCAAAAAGCTACCTACGTACCGAAACTTAAGCAATAAATAAATACGATTTCTTCGAACAGATCGGTCCCTGGTCCACTTCTCGGACAAAATAGATCATATGTGCTAATATATGCTAAAAAGCTACCTACGTACTGAATTTTAAGCAAATCGGACCGTAAATACGATTTTTTCGAATAGATCCGTCCCTGGTCCACTTCTCGGAAAAAATTTACCATATATCCCAACATATGCTAAAAAACTACTTACGTACCGAATTTTAAGCAAATCGGACCATAAATACGATTTTTTGGAATAGATCGGTCCCTGGTCCACTTTTTGGAAAAAAATTATCACATATGCTAATACATGCTAAAAAGCTACCTGCGCACCGAATTTTAAGCAAATCGGACCGTAAATTCGATTTCTTCGAATAGATCGGTCCCTGGACCACCTCCCGGAAAAAATGGGTCATATATGCTAATATATGCTAAAAAGCTACTTACGTACTAAATTTTAAGCAAATCGGCCTATAATAAGATTTTTTCGAATAGACCGGTCCCTGGTCCACCTACCCAAAAAAAAGTAAATTTGGTCCCAGCCTGGTGCGAAATAAAGTCAATTGACATTATTACCTTTTTAAAAACGAAATAAAATCCATTGACATTATTTCTCTTTCAAACAATAAATTTGCTTAGCTTCGCGGCGGCCGGCGTCAGCGCGCGCCCCGCGTACCCCGCGGCCCCCCTTCCCGGTCTCCCGCCGTGCTGTAACGCAGGTAGATTTATTTTTTGTATACGTTGAAATAAAATGTTTATGTATTTTAAACATCGAGGGCTTATATTCAATAAAATACCCTCTATCTGCACACTTTTCACAAAGATGAGATTCTGATATAAAAATCCACCTAAGCTTTAACTGTCATCAGTGATATTAATCCTACCTTATATAACGACAGGTAATAAGTCCCAGAAGGTTTCTAAAACCACAAATTAGTTTTTGTGCAAATTGTAGATAGAGGGTATTAATGAATTCAAGCCCTCGATATTTCACATTTTTATATTTGTAAGTTATTAGAAGCAGGGATACCAACTTCGCTCAAACCGTGCCATTTGTCCCTATTTTACTTCAAATGGCACTTAATTTTTTCAATTTGGCACAAAGTACGAAAATAGCACTTTTGTAAAAAAAAATACATTTCACTATATTTTTGTGAAATCCTTTGCGTGCACTTCTTTTTCTCAACTAAAATTTTTTAATTTATAGAGGCTATTCAACTGGTTTTTCTTATTTTATCATTGCACTTTTGTTTGGAAAATGTAGCTTTATTTTATTGCTAAATGTGAATGATTAAAAGGAATGACACCTTTTTTGGCACTTTTATTTTTCTATTTGGCACATTTTCGCACTTTTTTATCCTCAATATGGCGCCTTATAACTAAGGATAGTTG